GGTCTTTCAGGCTGTCTCCAGTCCTCTTTTCCTTTTTATTTTGAGACACAGTTTTTGATTAAGTTGCCCAGTCAGGCCTTGAACTTGCCATCCTGCCTCAGCCTTCTGAGTGGCTGGGATTATGGGTCTACAGCACCAGGCCCCTCACGGGGAACCACACAGGGTGTGGGGCACAGAACCACCCAACAAGCACAAACCCACAACAGAATGGCACATCTTAGCAGTTTGAACTATAGACGTGTTCCCGGGGATCGGTGCTCACTGAAGCTGCATGGGCCTCTGCCTGCTGAGGGAGACTCTTCAGGGGTTCGCAGGAGAAGTTCAGCAGCTCCGAGGGGGGCTTCCTGGAACAGACCGTCATCCAAAGCAGACTTCTGGGTCCCACCACAGTCCCCCTCCCTCCAGGATGCTCCGAAACCTGCTAGAGTCTGAGAACCGCAACTAAAGCATGCAACGTTTACCTCGCCTTTTTGGAAGAATACTGTAGTTCTATTTCAACTTCAATGAAAAAAAGGACTAGTTTTCATATTTTGTGTACACGGGCTTCCTTTGAGAGTTTATGAATTTAAAGGAACAGATGTTCTAAGCTAATATAATATTCTCACACATTTCTGCAATTATTTATTTATTTTTTAAGGCAGGGTCTCTCTACGTAGACCAGGCCAGCCTTGAACTCATACAGATCCACCTGCCCGTCTCCTGAGTGCAGGGATTACAAGTGGGTCTGGGTCCCCACCACGCCTGGCTCTCTTACCCTTCTTCTCCTCCTCCTCCTCCTTTTTTTTTTTTTTTTTTGGTGGTGGTGGTGGGGTTGAGACAGGGTTTGTGTAACCCTGGCTATCCTGGATCTCATTCTGTAGACCAGGCTGGCCTCGAACCCACAGAGATCCGCCTGCCTCTGCCTCCCGAGTGCTGGGATTAAAGGTGTGCACCATCGTTGCCCGACTCTTTCACCCTTCTTAACATGAACTAAAGTTACTTTTCCTCATAAACTTCATCAGGGAGCAAGAATGTAACTCAGTGGTACAGTGCTTGCCTCATAGGTCCAAGCCCTGGCTTCAGTCATCATCACTGTGTGTGTGTGTGTGTGTGTGTGTACTGAAATGCACAAATAGATACATGGAATGGTTAAAGCTAGAAAATGCCTGGGATATTCATTTTGCTGCATGGGTATTTTGTAAAATTAATACAGCTGTCAAAAATCCCTTTTTCAGTTTATTAACTTGTTTAGAAACTGAACAAAAAGCTAGTGCAGCCTGTATGGGAAGACGGAAGCGTGTCTCCTGCTTTCGGGTGTCTTCAGTAACATGACTTCTGAGGTTTTCCTTTCCCTGACAGTCTTTGGAATCAGTACTTACTCGGAGGCAGGGACAGGTTTGTTTAGGCCAGCATTTCCTCAACGGTCCTCTGGCAAGATGTCAAAGGTTGTTTTTCCAAGAAGAGGGTCTATGATAAATGTGTTTGGGAAATGTTGCATTAAAAAAAAAAAAAAAAAAAATGGCCGGGCAGTGGTGGCGCACGCCTTTAATCCCAGCATTTGGGAGGCAGAGCCAGGCAGATCTCTGTGAGTTTGAGGCTAGTCTGGTCTACACAGCGAAATCCAGGAAAGGCGCAAAGCTACACAGAGAAACCCTGTCTCGAAAAATCAAAAACAAAAAATGAAAAATAAAAAAAAATGAAGACAGTATACTCACCTGCAGGGCAGGTGCCGTGATCGCGAAGGTGGTGTCCCAGGGCAAGGCTTCTCCACTGCACTCCAGATGTGCAGACTCCTGCGATTTCCCCAGTTTGGGAAACTCGACTGCACAATTTGTGGGGTGGGGACTTGTTCAAGTTCTCCCCTGAAACAAATTTTTTTAATTTAATAAAAGTGGGGAGAATCATATCATGACCTCTTAGGGTTTTAAATATACTAATACACACGGCACATCTCTGGGAGTGGGTATGTAAAACAAAGCTGTCCTGGAACTCCTTATGTAGACCAGGCTAGCTTCAAACTCACAGAGATCCACCTGCCTTGGCCTCTAGAGAGCTGGGATTAAGAATGTGGGCCAACTTTTTGGCCCACACCTAGCACCCAACTTTTTAAATTTTTTAATTTATTTTTATATTATGTGTATGAGTGTTTTGCCTGCATGTATCTTTGTGCATCTGTGCATGCAAGGTCCGAGAATATCGGATCTCCTGGGACTGGAGTTACAGATGGATGGGAGCCTCCATGTGGGTGCTGGGAACTGAACCTGGGTCCTCTGCAAAAGCAACCACTGCTCTTAACTGCTCCTCAGCATTTTTTAATGAAAGAAAGAGAGAGAGAGAGAGAGAGA